CAAACCTCGCCGTATGAGGACCTCAGCAATCACAGTGGGCCCTGGGCAATTTAGACATGATCCCGGAGTAGGTAAACATGCCCCTGGATCATCCATCTTTACGTATGCCCGCTCATATGGCGGACCTGAAATACGGCTGTGCTTATGCTCAACGTTGCTCCATCACCACGGATGACAATCTATCCTCAGGTATCCGCCCATCAGTCGAGTTTTGCCAACCATGAAGGCATCTACAGCTTCACAGTCCCCTGGAATACCCACGGTGTGTTTCCATTTTGACCCTACATACACATGTCCCGACGCCACCCACGATACGCCGCCCGCGGACGCGACCCCACCGGACCACTATGCACCAACACCATACACAAGTGTGCCTCGTGCCCTTCAGGAAGGTTTCTTCTACACTCATGGCTAGGAATGATAGTTAAGAATCAACATTATCCTTGGCCTCTGGGTAGCAAATGAACACTTGTTGGACTGGTGGGATACCAGTGACCTGCGGTTCCACACTTTCTCGTCAACTCCTGTGCTCGTTCTAGCTTTGCAGGTTGGCGATAAACGCGATACGTTTACGTGGTTACACAAGATGAGACTTTGCCTCGAGGTCAACCCTGGACCCTGGACCCTCCGTCCTTCTTGACTGGACGCCCTTTGCCCTTGTCTTTTTTACATCATATCCCGACTGAAACGACTCTAAAGTGTCATGGTCAACGCGGGCTAAGCGATAATACTAAACCCTACTAGCAGGCTGTGAGTGGGATCGTGTTTGAGTGATGATATGTTTTAAGGGAGCGGTAGCAGGTTTACGAGTATGGGTGCGTGGTTTTTTCTTGTGTGTTCTTTTTTTTTTTCTGGATTGTGTGGATTTTCGAATGGGGCCACGTGATACAATGCTGGGACGCGCCAGTCGAGATGGGGAGGACAGGGTTGGGAGGTGGAGGCGTATCTGCGCGATCGATCGATGGAGGGTGGTATGGGTTTCTGCCACCAAAAGTTGGGGAGCGGTGGCTCGTCCCAACGGGCGCTGTTCTCGGTTCAAGTTTTGCTTGAACCTTCGTCTCGAGCTGGAAGCCGTGGATGATTTTCTGGATGCTCGTGGTGCTGGGAGGTGGTTTGAGATATACATGGGCTACTTCTCCCACGTTTTGGAGAGTGCTGTCACGTTCGTTTGTTGTCGCCGTAGGGCCCGCCCACCCCATATCGGGGTGATAGATGGAAGGGTATTCGTGCTGTCAAACGATGGAAGATGCGATGGAATCGTCGCACCGAAATTTGCGGGTGGAGGAGTGTGTTTGTTGGCTTGGTATTTTTTATTCGAGTATTGCATCGGTCTTTGTCGTGAGCTGGAGGGCTTGGATTATTTTTGGAGGGTTCGTGGCTTCGGGAGGCGGTTCGTGACGTACATGCGCTGCTTTTGTATCGTTTTGGAGAGCGCAGTCGCCCTCGTTCGGTGTCATCGTTTTCACCTTTTCACCTTTGTCTATCTCCCCGCCGCCTTCTCGCATACTAACCCACCGTCTCCTACAGGTTAACCCCCTCCAACCCCTCCGAAGGCTCCATCACATGGCAAGTTGATGGTGTCCAGAGTTATCGCCTCGGTGCCATCGCCGTCGAACCAGACCAAGGCCCTACAGGCTCGGGCGTTGACCAGCGTCTTATCCCCGTCGAACCAATGAGCATTGTCCTGAATCTCGGGATCTCACCGAATTCGCAGGCTATCGACCTCACGACGCTGTTGTTCCCTGCGGATGATTATGTGAGGGTGTATCAGAGGAAGGGCGCGACGAGTGTGGGGTGTAGTCCGAAGGACTTTCCGACGGAAGATTATATCAGTAGGCAATGGATGCATATTCGGGTGAGTTTTTTTCTTGTTTTTTTTTTTTTTTTTGATTTGCATGGAGCTGTTGATGTGACGTGGCGATAGATTCTAATACTACGACGTGGAATTGGGAGAAGCCCAAGAATAGTCTTGTATGTTGGTTTTGTTATCTTGCTTCCATGTCGCTGACACGTTTTTAGTACGACGGATTTTAGCCCGCCCACCACCCACTTCCTTAAATTCGACTGTAACCTTATCCGTATTCCGAAAAATCCATCTCGCCTTTACGCACGCACGCATTACTTTCTACGGAACTATTCATTCATACGTCATTGGGACTTCGCTCCATTCGCGCGTGCTTATTCCAACGTTCTCTTTCCCTACTGTATTCCTCACACACACGATGTAATGCCCCCACCTTGAACTGCCCCGCATGCTTCATATACATACGATGATATTCAACTCAGAGACCTTTCGAACTTCTTCTTTACCGTCACGCACGATGGATCACATAGATACATATTGTCTATTCATCTTCGTTCATTCGGTTACGTTTCTCGTTTGCATCTCCGTTCGGTTGTACCATCTCGTATGCCCCTTGCGAGCTGCCATCTCTACTCGCATGCCCGCGCGCACGCATACCATGCCATACTAGCCCTCGTCTCTCCTTTATGCCACGACGCTCGTTTTGATACCGCATCCAATCACATCCGCCATGTACACACCCGCGTGTCCACTTGGCGGCTCGTCTTCGCGCCGACGGCATGATGTACCTGCCTCGCACCGTCTCGCCTCTCCCCCGCCCATCCCCGCCACGCCATACCATACCATCCATATCCATACGGACCATAGCCTGAATGATTTGATCTTTTCATCCTCGTCGTTTCGCTCGCTTTCACTTTACATAAAGCATTTTATTTCCTTATCTTTGATGTGGAGCTCTCAGCGTCGTAAACGTTGAAAACACACCTGGCAGAGTGGACTTGTGATCTATTCCATTTGTGATGAATCGTAAAACGCGTAGTTGGGCACAAAAGATGCTAGGTATTCTTTGCAATGTAATCTCGGGTCAAAGTCACGGCTCACAGCCTTATAGACCTTGCCAAGTCTAGAAATCAGTATAGTCTCTCGACTTCTTCCCAGCCGCGGCTTCTCGATCATATCTTTACGCCATCCTATCAACTTCAATAGTCGCCACGACGCGCATGCCGTACGGCCCTGCCGGTGCATCCTAGACCAAGATTATTCAAAACCTAGTTCGCGATGTAGCGTTCTGTTCACTGCTCAATCACCATTTTTGCTCAACGCTTGTTCAGATTCTTTTCGAGGCGATCTTCGATGGCCTGAGCCACGTATATTGACAAAGAAAGACTTTCTAACCCTCGCCGATGCCCATCCGAGCCACCCTCCTAGTTCGAGTTCTCTCCAGCATTTAGCGATAACGCCCCCGTGTTCACCACTCTCTCGGCTTATCTCATAGGACGAGGAATACTTTTACCCTCGTAAACCCCGCTTTCCATCTTTCCGGGGGCATCTCGTTCGAACGCAAAGTCCTCGTACACGCGAACTGGAGTTTTGGACCGGCACCCTACTGCCCATGGAGTGCATGCGCATCGACGTTGGTGTTGACGAGGTGTCCAAGGAGTGGCCTGTGAGATGCTAGTAGATGGCGTAGGGATGCGCGAAGGACGGAAAATGTGGGCTTAGAAGAGACGCTACCTTCCAGATTCACTACATTGTTGATGTTAAACGTTTGCTTGTGAGACAGACAGACCGAACACAATACATGACCCTGTGTTCATCCAATACCCTACTAATTTTATCCACAGGTCACAGGATGTCAGCTATACATAGGTACTTTTTCTCAGAAGCGCATGGAACTATCTGCAATGCAGATCAACTGAACAGTTTACAAAGAAGGAAATGGAGCTTACATGGTATTGACTTATATGTGATTGACTAACGACATGTCGTTCACACTCTCGAATACATCGTCTTTGTGGTCGAACATACTCCCGTCTCTGCAATCCCTGTTAAGCCGTCTACTTAAAATGTCAACCTTTATCATCGTATCATCGAGATTCGTGTATCCTCCGCACGAGTACAATCTTGCCCATTGTGAAAGTGGAGGACGAGACTTTTGTATGGTTTTCCAGCATGGTTGCACCATGGGAGGGGTAGGGCTTGCACAAAGCTTCTCAGGGAAGCTTCCACTAACAAAAATCCTCAAAATAGCAAAGAGAGCTCGCTTGATAAGCTGGATGTCTTGTCCGGCCATTCCGAGTCGAAATTTGGTGCTGCTAACGATTATGTCTCGTCAACCATCAAGATTCTGCGGAAAGAAAGTCATCCTTGGACTAGTGATGTTCCGGCCCGGTGTGGAAGGGCGTCGGGCGTGCGGATGGAAGAATCTAAAAAGATTAGTACGATACTTTAGAGAGTACACGTACTTTGCGAATGACGACCGAATGAGAATTTAGGGCGTCTTCTAAAATGTATGAGTACACTTCGAACGATGGAACTGGCCTTAATTGGTGCTTTGACGCTGTTACGAGCGACCAGACGACCGGTCCGAACGACAACAGAGACGACGACGAGATATCCGATCGACGAAACAATCGGACAAGAAGCCAAGAGAACAACGAGACAGACGATGACAACGATCTTTCGAGCGTGTCGAGAACGACTTAGAACAAAGCCAGAATACTTGGGGTAAGAGAACCTGTTTATTTCGTTATACTCAAAGGCTTTTTATACAAATCTAAAAGTCCCTCCAGATCGTCGATCGTTGCCCGATTTCGAAATGGACCAACGGTCGGTTTATTTGTGGACATGGAGGGTGTGCCTTGTTCAGATTCCAGTTCAGTTCAGATTTCCATTTGAGTCTTTGTCCATCATTGAGCTTGTCCTCTCAGGCTCTCCATCCTCAGTGCCTTCACCATCTTTGTTCAGGTTTTGGTCTGGCAAAATGACAGTAGATGGAGCATCTGCATCTCAACATTGGGGACTGATCCTCATGACCTGAGTGTGACAATGCAAGCAGAGTTGATGGAGAGGATGGCAATGAGAATGGGTTTCTGCATAGTAGACAGAGAGGAGGCAAAAGGTGGCTAGCAAAGCTGATCAAGCAGCAGGTCACCCTCCATGTGGAGGAACATTATGTGTTGACAATGTTCACATATGCATTAAGGGGGAATCAAACCCCCAGCGGGTCGAAACCCCATAAACCGACGCATGATGGCAACGACCCAGGTTACCACTACCCCATTAATGCAATAAGATAGATGCAACGCCCTTCGTATCAGATCCCAGACCTTGTATAGCGAAAGTTGTCGGGTAGAAGCTCGAGTTGGGAATTCTATATTGTTGGATAGTGCTGTGGTGTGGGTGGAAGGGCTCTGGAGATGAGAATAGCGTAGTAAAGTGATTCGAAAGAGAACTCACCTCACTGGTCATACATGGATGTCTGATTTACGGATCGCTATCCAAATTCGATTAGGTTTCAATTTCCGGAAATCGGACGCTGGCTTCATCCCTTCTCATATATCTTTCACGCACCCGTCATTTGCAACTTGCGATTTCCACGAAGCATTCATCAAATTAACTTTGTTGTTTGCCTCACCACAAAGTTAGCTTGAACTTTGAACGATAAGCTGATATTTTCTGGAAGGTTTGTTCAGATTTGATCTGCCATACCTTTACAAAACGATGGCAGATGCATGGAAGATGCCCAAACCTTTGGAGACCCAGCTGGATTCGCGTTTAATGAGTTTTTGAGTCCGAAGGACCCCCAATGCAGGAAAAAATGTACGACCACCCATACATTATCCAACAAGCATCTAAAGCCGTTGTAGCATACTCGCCAAGTGGCCTCATATCCGAAATGATCCCACGCACGAAAATGTCATCTCGTACCTGGCCCAAGCGCTGCCGCCACCTGTGATTCTCGACGAGAGGAACACGGAGAAGAAGCCTTCGAGCAGTTGATATCGGGTCACTGAAACCTTCAAGAATCTTCGCTCACCCTCATTACCCCGTTTTCCTCCCTTCCACCTCCGTTTAAAGCCCGCGTTCGTGTTCGTGCTCGAAGGCCATACTCGTTTATAGTGCTGTGGGATATCGAACTATGGTCGACTTTCACCCGATCTTTCTCACCACCATTTCTTCGTCCATCCGCCCGTCCCTGTTGAAGGGATAGAAGTGTGAAATAAAGCACTCTGGGTATACTCCTACCTCATTCCACGATCCTCATTGACAAGACATCCAACCGGTTCGGCATTGTGATTTTCAAGGAATGGAGAAGGATTTGATGCGGTTTGGGAGGATAATTGGATTGACGGTTGTGCGTGATTATCAATCCTCGACCCTCGAGATACCTCAATCCATCTAAGCAAGATTTGTGGATCACCTTGTTCAACGGACCGTAGGCTGAGGTGGCACCAACCAGCACTGCTTGATTCGAGTGGCGGATTATGTGGGTTATGAGTATCTCAGATCTTGGGCAAGTAAACTGCACGAGTAGTTAGTTGACTGGTCAATGCAGAGTGAAGAGCAAAGAGATGATGTTACGTACAATGGATACTGAACCATATATGAACCTGGAAGTTCCTCTCATCACTCGAGCCAGCGGCTAGAGTGCTCCTACGTTCGCTTTTTTTATGAATGATAAATTTTGAGCCAGGTTGAACTTTGGTGGATTTTCGATGTGTTGCGCATTCTGCCGTTTCAACGTCGACCGTGCGTCCTCGTTCGTTCTGTGATAAGTCGAACCTCGATTTATCGTCCCAGTCATTTCAATACGACGTCGTGTTCGATCCAAAGACTGAGATACATTAGGATCATCAACGAACAGCGAAGAAAATGCGATATTCAGGGTTCCAGCTACCGTGGCACCAGGGCCAGGGCTGGTGGCACCTCTTCGCGTGTAGATAAGGTCTCATTGTTCGAACCCAAGGAATTCTGAATGCCCACGCTAAAACCATTCGTCAGACAATATGTCGCCCCCTCGGGAGCTATAGGTCCCTGCACAGACAATCTTAGGGGCCAGAGGGTCTTTCTACGTGACCATATTTGGTATACAGAACAACTGCAAATAAGCGATCTCCGTTTGCTTTCAATTGCCTCATGTTCACGGAAAGCTCCGAGCGGAAGCCAAGTCACCTCGTACCGATATGGCAACTTTGAGAGGCTGTTTTCGGTCTCATCACCAGGGAAGTAATTACTAGAGACTGTGGGGCGTGCATGAAATGAAGAGCTGATATGGGTTTGCAGAAAGGAATGGTTCAACAAAGTCTGTGTGGTAGAATTTGAGAGGATTTTGGAATGTGCTTTGTTTCAAACAGATAGGTCTAAGCTTGGTCTCAGCCTCGGACACCGCCTCCCTCACTCAAATCTCTCACTCGTTTCAGTATGGTTTACCGTGGGCGGGTTCAATGTAAAAGGTATATGTTTGTGTCCTCTGTGAATCCGCATGGTGGACGGACAAGTTATTGGTGGCGTGAAGCAACCAAAACACACGCCGAGGGGAATGAGTTCACTGGCCTGTGGGCGGAAACACTTCGATATCACACGGGTATATCAAAGAACCAGGGGGCGGCTCGGTGGATAACAGAGTGGGAACTGCTGAAAGGAATCTTGCCTGGCCGCTGCTCATATATTGATCCACAGAACTTCGTCCATCTACACATTGTCTCTCCATGTGTACCGCGTGGCTCTGTTGGTATCTCAAAGAAAGACTTACGAGCTATGGAAAACATATAAATAAGGCAAGGATATCTCGTTTTTCAAGATTCCTAACTTCTGAAAATGTCTGAAGAGCCCACATGTGCTTGGTCGAATCTTAACTTCATTCACGACTCGGACGCGCCGACTATTCCAAACCTCGATGATCTCAAGTACACAACATATGTTTCTTCTATACCTAATATCTTAAGGTCTAACATACAACAATTCTACAGCACCCTTGAATATCTGACCCAAGGAGCACCATATTCTGACGCATATGAGGAGCGGGGCACTCATGGACCAATGTCTAACCCACAATGTGAGGAGAGGATAGCTGACTGGTGAGTTACCATGGCCTCATCTACTCCTAGATAACTGACTTTGCCTAAGGGAGCCCTTACCAGTAAATATCACTCTCGCCCCTCCGCAACTTAATGTTTTCCTCCGAGCCACCTGAGGAAGACACCTTGAATCTCAACACGTTTTTTGATCAAGAATTTCCAGCTGGGTTTGCGGTCATCGCTAATATCTGAGGGCCTTTCGCCATTCGAAACAAGCCCATGATATCCCCTGCGGTTTTACAATATTATCCTAGAGGTCTCCAACATTTCCCTCTTCCCCTGTCAGGAAACGACATGCTCCCTTGGTCGCAAAATCAAGCAACCCATGTCCCCGAATTATTTCAACAAGTTCTTTCACAAGATATCCGGTCTCTTAATCAACAGACTAGACTCCCTGCTGCCCCTACTCCTCTCACGGAGTCTTTTTCCATCTACAACGAGCCTCAGATACCTTCAGGCTCTCAATTTTATCCTGAAGGCTTTCTACAAGTCTCTCTTCCTCCTATGTCAGGGAACGGAGCGCACACTTGGCCGCAAAATATAGCCTAGCCACCCATTGCTCCGAATCATTTGAGCAAGAAACGCCATATTCTAACCCATATTCTGGCAAAGGACTTGGAGGACTGTTCGACGAGGAACAGGGGACTCATGGACCAGTGTCCGACACACGATGTGAAGAGAGGGTAGCCGACCGGTGAGTTACCACGGCCTGGTCTAATCCTAGATAACTGACTTCGCCAAAGGGGGCCCTTACCAGTAAATATCACGCTCGCCCCTCCGCAAATTGAAACAATATTTTCCTCCGAGCCACCTGAGGAATACACTTCCAATATCAGTTCGTTTTCCGATCAAGAATTTTCGCTTTGGCCTGCGGTCGTCACTAATTCTGGAGGGGCTTTTACCATCCAAAACAAGCCTGTAGTGTCCCCTACAGATTTGCAATATTATCTTGGAGGCCTTCAACAAGCGTCTCTTCCTCCTCCCATGCCAGGAAACTATGCGCTCCCTTGGTCACAAAATAAATTCATCCCTTACCCCGAATCACTACCACAGGCGACCTCCGATAACACCTGGACTTTCAATCAGGAAGCTTCACTCCCTGCTGCCCCCACTCCTCTCATGAATACAACTCCTTCCAATAGCCAAATTACCACTTCCGATTTTGGGGTCTTTCAAGGCGATGCACTCAACTGTTCCTATGGCAAATGCAGACGATGGATCTCCCACCAGGAATCTTCAAATGACAATAACTTCCAGACCACGGTGTACGATCACCTCAAGAGGCACACCGACAGTCCAGAATCGCGATCGAATGGCAGATGGCGTTGTCAATGGAAGAAATGCGACAAAGACTTTATTGACAAGAGAGGTCTCGA